AAAATACTTAATTCCGAATTATAATCTCATATTTGTATCCCATTCATCAGTACCGTGTCGTCAGTTCCATGTTCGATGTTTCGGTTATCTTTTTTTCGCAAACTTCAATTTAAATTCTGCTTGCGCAGAACTTGTTTATTTAATGTCATTATAAACTCATATAAATTTGGTGTGGGTCCCATATTTAATAATTGAGATATCGGTATACCCAAAATCCACCAGCCGCCACTGATGTGTGGTATTATTTGATTTTAAGATATTTAATGTATAATATGCTCAAAGTTGCAATAAATCTTATTTTTTGCAAAAAAATTATGTATTTAATTAGTACCCTGGTATACTCGTCACTTCCCTTGCATTCAAATTTAGAAAACACAGATATTTCAGAAACTGTTTGAAAAAGTGACTGGCCCGGTCTAGAACAGTATATTTATTATATTATCTATGTTCTCATAACAAAATACTGTTTAATTTTCTCCGAAAACTATATAAACAAAATGATGTTTCAGATGGTGGAAAATATTATCAAGTAATGTAATGTTTCTGAATGAATTTTTAATGTTTTAAATTTCCATAAAAATATTAAAAGAATGTACACGTAATGACCTTTGTTGTGTATTGTGTCAACTTTACAAGTTTGTTTTGGGTGTTTTTGCTTAAAAAGTTAACTAAAAACGCCAGTTTCAATATTAAAAATTTGTTCTGCATTTGGTTGTATAAGTTTTAGTGACATGAAAGAGACTGGAATGGCATTTATTATTATTAATTTAAACTCAAAATTATCTTTTTATGGTAATAAATTAATTTATTTTTTAAACTTAAATAATATAATAAAATATAATATAATTTTTAATCTGAATAATATCATTTATAATTGAAACTGGTTACCACTTGGTTCACACTTTTTAACATTTTTAACGAAGTTTAATGTCTATATAAAACACTGCACTTTTAAAAAACTCTGGAATAACACCCTTTAAAATGACAGAATCGCACTCAAATACATTTGGATACATTTTAATTAAAAATGCATTGGGTTGGATTGACAACATTTTCTCAAAATGTAGAGGACATTTTAAAATTAACAATGTAAAAAAAATTAATGTTGTTTATTTTTTCTTAAAGTTACTTTAAAGATTTTAACTTTAGACCAAATTCGATGTAAGAAACGAAAAAATGCAAAAGGTAAAACTTAGAAGTTTTCCTTTTAAACATGTTAGTTCATTATTTTTAATAAAATATTTTGTACGTTTTTTTGTTTTAATGTATTATTTAAAACGTTTTATATTTCGAATTTTTATTTATTTATAAATTCTTTAATTTTAAATGGCACCATAACTCTACCTTGTAGAAAATTCATCTTAAAATTATCAAATTTCTTCCGAAACCGAATCCTTATCGCAAAATCGAAGCGGTTGCTAAATGTTTCGTCATAAATCTAGAGATCCTAGCATCTAGGCTATTTGTAAACATTTATCACCGCAAACTGCGCGTAGAAGCAGTGTTGACGCATAGTTGTTCAAATTATGAATATTATGGAAAGCCATAAATATTTCTTTATTTTGTAGATATTTAATATGAATTGTTATAGTATGAGTTATTGCGGTATACTGTTTAAAATAGTACAATTTCTAAACAAACATCACGTCATCAAATTGTTAAGAAATTTGGTACAATCAGTACTACTACAACACTTACTGATGTATTTCGTAACTTTAACCCACGATACTGTATCCACTAATTTTAGTTTGACAACCAGTGATGGCATCTTTTTTAGATACTTCGCACTTCGCACATTTGTATAGGTATAAGGAATCTAAATAACAATAATAACAGATTTCTGGTAATTTATTATAATATTATATATAAACCCTCTGAAAAGTATGCAGAAAAATAATTTGCAGGGAAATGTTTTGATTGGCTGCCTGAAATCACGTGTACTTTTTCAAAGAAATAATTTGTTAAACATTAACAAAATAATTAGTGACCTAACAAAATGCTTTAAAAATTGTATATATTCTTTAGAAAACTTTCAGTAAAATATTTTCCTTCGTTAAAATAATTATAAACCCTGATTTTATAAAAAAAATTATGTTAACATTTTACAAAATTAAAAATTGATTTTTATTATTTTTTTACTGGCTTCTATATGCCAATATATTTATTTTGTGTAATAAAATAATGGGTAGTATTATAATTATTACATATTTTTAAAATTTACATTCTTGGGGTGACACTACGCCACTGGCTGCAGTTAATGCTGACTAATCGATTTGATTTCAGACAAAACAGTTTAATCATTAATTTTTGAGAGATTTATAAGGATTATTCGGCAAATTTTAATGAAAAATCTGGAATGGTTAAAAAATCTTTGGTAATTTAGTAATTCAGTGATTTTTCAAAAATTCGGCTTTTCCAATATCACTTTTTCGGCTGTGAGTTTTTAGACAATTGTAACGTTTTATATTTGGATAAAAGTTGGTTTTTGGGATTTTCCTAGTTTTGGTTATGCTATATTTTACAGATTTTGTTTGTCAACTTTTGATAATATCTTTACATAGCCAATCAAAGATGAATATTAAATTATATTCTCTTTTATTTATATTATAATTTAACAGCTAATTCTTATGTAAAACTTTCCCCTGAATCCGAAAATACCGTAAAAAATTATGAAAGTGGAGCGGTTTTTGAGATAAATTCAATTTCATATTAAATGGAAAATTGACTATATCTTAAAAACTGTTTTACTTTTTAAACTTTTGACGACATTTTTGTATTCAGGGGACAATTTTACATAAGAATTGGGATACCATGGTATTCCATGGTTAACCATAGTACTATGCTCCACACCTCAAAGTCCCACCACGTGACCACGTACGGAACGCAGTCTTTAGAAAATTTGGCATTTAAGGCTTTTCAGGTTATGTATCTGTCAAAGTACGGTCAATGAAAGAAATAATATTATGTTTAGGCGTTAAAAATGTATAAATCTTTATAACATTACAATAACAATGGATGGTTTAAGAATTTAAGAATATAAATACTGCATTTAATGAAATTCTAAAGTGTATGGTGCCAAATAAGTAATATGAGGTGTGGAGTATAGTACAAGTGAAAAAGCAGCCACTAATAACTATTAAATTAGTCACTTTTGACTAATTCATTTTTAGACAGTTGGATTTAAAGATTTGTCTACGTAGACCTAGAAAAGTAATAATTTGAATGTTGTTCCTCAAAACACTAAAATACTATACAAAAATTGGTAATTATGAAGTATAATAATTAGGGATGGGATTTTAGTTATTTTACCTTTTTTCAACCGATGTAACTATTTGAAAACCAATAATGCCAAAATGTGTTTTAAAAGATTTTCTTTTATATGAACCTAACTTGTTTTCACCTTTTTTACCTTTTTTGGAGGTTTTTGCTTTAAACTACCTTTTTTATACTTTTGTTACCTATTTTTTTTAACTTGTTTTCACCTTTTTTACCTTTTTTGGAGGTTTTTGCTTTAAACTTCCTTTTTATACTTTTGTTACATATTTTTTAATTTGTCAGTTTATTTTCACATATTTGTTATCTATTTTTACGTATTTTTACTTATTTTATTTTTTTGTGGTCTTTTTAAATTTTCCGCCAATATTTTATCCAGGGCGTGCAACTCAACGGTATAGAATTTTTTCTTATGGTCACAGACTGTAACAGTAACTTTCTTTACAGTTACCTTCTTTGTAGTGAGCTTATGTTCTGTTATAGTACTTCTGTTTAGTGAGTGTCACTCAGTAATAGTTATTTATGTCATTAGGTTAAGAAGTAAGGCTTTTTGTGCTAAGCTCAAAGTTTGAAGGCCGACGCGTAGCGGAGGCCTACAATTGAGCGAAGCACAAAAAGACACTTCTTGGCCGAATGGCATACAACATTTTATCTTCAAAGCACTTTATATAGGTCAATTTAATTCAACATGAAAGCGCCCTAACCTCACTTTTTTTAATCTCATTTATTTATTAGCTAAAGATTACATTAAATGTACAATAATTATTATTCCTTTTAGAAGCAGTAATAGTTTGACAATACCTAACTCCATGATTTAAGTAGAAATGGATTTTTGTAAGAAAATGGTTTACTTACCCTCTTGCTATTACATTGAATTCAATTAATTGTTTAATAAATAGGTATCTAATTTCAATTTGTTTGCATTTTTATTAAAAAAATAGGTAGTTTGGAATGTTTACGCTGTGTTTAACATTTAATTTTACTGAAAACTTAAAGCAAATTAAAATTTAAAGATAATTTAAATCGTAGAAAAAGAAAACACAACTGTGAAACGTCAAATTGCAATGTCCTAACCTCACTTTTTGTCTTATTATTCATATTTAATTTTACAATAATTTAATGAAAAATATTAAACATTAAAATGTTATAACAGTAAAACAAACAAATTAGTGCTTATTATAAATAAATTAAACCAGTTTAGTACGTTAATTTCTTAGAAAAGGATTAATTTGTCAAAACAATACCCCTAGCGAGAAAAAATCGAACTAATTACTTGCCTCATAAAAATTTTTATCGGCCTAGGCCATAACAAGGTATTTCTTTATCGAATGTTGACAACAATAAAGTTTAAATTATAGACCGCGTGGAGATAAAACAGTTTATTGCATATAAATAGTTTATTGTGGGTATGTTCTGTGTTTGGGTATGCGGCTAAACAAAATTACAAACGAAACTTGAACTTTTAATGTTTTTTTACCTAAAATGATGTTTTTTAACCTAAAATGCTTTTTTAGTACCTTTTTAGTTACCTATTTTTCAGTTTTTAGTACCTAAATATCCCATCTTTAATAATAATACTAATCGTTTCTTCCAAATGTTTTACTTTCAAATTTTTTTACGGTTTTAATCTAAACTGTGGCCTCTGTGCGGCGTGCGAAGCGCACTTACAACTTTCAACAAACTCCAAGAGAAAGTTGGCTAGCAGCGTCAGTTCCACTACGGCGTCCCGACGCTCAAAGCACACCGCGATATCGGAGCAATCACGTGTTTAAAAACAACGCAGAAAATTCGTCTGCGAGACCGAGTTTCCGAAAAGTATTTCAAACATTTAACCGAAATTTTCGCGGCGATATGTTTATATTTTTGTGGTTTTTAACTTTATAAACATTCATTTCGTTTTTTACTTCAAGGTGAGCAAACATATTTGTGAGCGTTTACGTGAGTGACTTCTAAATTATTTATTGCAATCAGCGATATATTTCTTGTTCTATAGTTCTAACTAAAAATTATAGATTTTTTTCAACTACTATACATACTAAGTTTTATGACTATTACTATTAAAACTGATGGGTAATTTGTATGTTATTTAATTAATAGTTTGATACCCAATAATTTAAAACCTTAATAGTAATATTAGACAAAGAGTAGACTATAGACTTTAAATTTAAAAAAATTATAGTTATCAAACATTTTCTTTGTGTTCCCAAAAACAATTTGCTAATATAAATAAGTTTACATTACGTTTATTTTTTTTTTCAAAAAAATATCCCACTTTTAAGTGAAACAATAAAGAAATAAAACTTTTTATGAGTCAGTTAAATAAAAAGGGTTCGGCACCTTTCTGTATTATATGTTTTAAATGTCAATTTCTTTAAGAAACTTTCTTTTGTGTTCTTTTATTTCTTTATGAAAGAAAAACGGTTTTGTCGTCTAAACACTTTTTAAATAACTCTAAAAAGAAAAGAAAAACGTTTTATATAGTTTTTCATTAGTAAAAAAAATACAAAATATTGTTCTTCTTATTTCTTATTCTTTATTTATTACTAGGGCCCGGACTTTTAGGTCAAAAAGTGATAAAAGGTTCCTAAATTAGGTGATATTTTTAATAAAATAGGTATTTTAGGTACCTATATTTTAGGTATGTGTTAAGTACATAAAATATAGGTACCTAAAATACCTATTTTATTAAAAATGTCACCTAATTTAGGATCCTTTTATCACTTTTTGACCTAAAAATCCGGGCCTTATTTATTACATATACAATATAGGAGTAAACATATTTTTCAAAAATGGTCAAATTTGCGTTAAAGTTAAAATATGCAAAAAAGTGGAGTAATTAACAATAGTTTATACCATATACCTACCCAATTCTGCTCTTAACGTATTTTCATACTAAAATGCACTTGTACCATTTTGCTTCTCACCCCTTCAAATGTGGCAACCAACTTTTTGAGTTACCACGCTTCAGACATGAAAATTAGTAACCGCGACAAATTGAAATTAAATTATTTAATCTAAAATTTAAATTTTTTGTAAATATTTATCAAGTTTAAACGCCATTTTAGAATGAATTTAATTTAGGCACGGGCTGAAGTTAGTTTTAAGTTAGTTGACAGTTGTCGTTAAAATAAAGTGCATTTCTTGTAAAATAATACTAAATGTAAAAATTATTTTATTATCTCAATACAAAAATACAAAAGTATTAAATATTTTCTCAACGCCAATATTTAAAAAGTTTATATGAACATTGTACTGACCTATTAATTTCGCCGGCAGTAAACTATAACTTAAATTCGGGCACGGACTCCACTGCAGTTACATGTAAAGTGCTCCTAAAACATTTTCTTTACTTTCACTGTGAAAAACTGTCAATTTTCAAGAAATACATTTCGATTTATAACCTTTATAATCTGTGTTTATAAAATATAAAAATTTGACATTTGACACAGATTCCCCTATTGTTTTATAGATTGCGCTCTATAAAATTTTTTGATTTAAATCATTTTAAGATAATAATAAGTATTTGTCGTAAAAAAAGTATAGTATGCACCTCGTTTATAAACCTTTCTATACACTCATTAATTTAAGCACTCGCTCGCAAGCTCGCTCGTGCCTAAATTAAATTCGTGTATAAAATGTCGTTTATTATATCCTTTGATTTTTTTTATTACTATAATTCTTAGTCTTATAAAATACAAAAGGTTACAATTGTATTTATTGGAATTCCCGTTAGAATGTCCAACTTATTATATATTATTTAAATATTAATTTTATAAATATTTGAAAAAAAAAATTATAATATTTTTTATTGTTGCAATAATTCAAAATGTTAAAAAAGAAAACCATATTTTAAAATATAAAAATATCCTCGTAATCACTTGGGTTTTTAATCACGCTGGAGCTTTTTGTAAAACTTGTTTTTCCACATTTTTAGGAAGAACCTAAATAAAATCAAAGCATAATGAGATTTTTAAAGTTCTTAAGTTTACAAACAGTATTTACTGTATAGTGCATTTAAGATCAAAATTGTTTTATAAAATTGTAGAATTCCTCAATAGCAATACCAGTAGACAATTTTAAAGTTAGTTTGTTTTCTCGTATAAAGTTTGACTTGACAATGCACTTATAAAGGTACAAGTTAAAAAAGTTTCAAGGCATAACTTATGTCAATACGAAAACAAAATATCGTAGAAATGACATTATAGCATAAAAACTTTAAATGTGGGTTAATGAAGTTATACATTATGCATTTGAAAATCAATATTTTGCGATAAAACTTTATTATGAAATATTTTATTATAAATATTAATATTGATGAAAATTACGAAATTTAAAACTTTTTAAATGGCAATCATAAAACGTCTTAAAGTCTAAATCGAATTAAATCGAGTTTATTTAATTAATTGTTCGAAAGCGATAAGAGGGGATATACTCGCTATGGAGACGCTGAAAAGCCAATTTGTATTCAACTATTGTAATCTGTTCGTTTTTTATCTGCTTTGTTTGCTCCACTGCGAATCCCATCTCGTTTATTTTCATCGCTGTACTATGAATGAAATCGAAACCAATTAGATAGGAACTGAGTTTTCACAAACAAATATATGAATGAGGTGTGTTGTGAAATAAACAGTAATTGTCGTTTTTTGGGGAATATGCTCTTTTATAAAATGAAATTCTACTATTTGAATTAGTACCAGCATTTTTTTACTGATAAAATAGTTAAAGTTTGACTAATTTAAGAATTATTTTTGACTATTTCTAAGACTTAAAAGTAACTAATTTCTTTAATCGTTTGCGGCCAACAACAAATTATTGTTTAAGTTAAATGCATATAGGCTCCATGGTTAAATGGCCCATAAAAACAAACAAAGATGCAAACAGTTTAGCTCAAAACAGCAACACAAATAATAAATTCAACTTTAAAATATTATGAACAATATTTATTGACAAATAAAATTGATTTTTATAAGAGCGGCTGATAGCCGAATGGGTTATGACAACAGCCTGACAAACTTGATAACCGACAGACCCGAGTTCAAAACCCGGCTGGGTCAGAACTTTTTTTTAAATTTAAATCTACTAATTTGACTATTTCATTTAGTAGAATTCGACTAATTATTAGTGACTGCTTTTTCGCTAATTCATTTTAAGAGAGAATGTACATGATTCTCCGAATTACAATTTTTTTTTAAATTATATATTATATATATCAGAAATGACAAACAAAAAAAAGAAGTTAACAAAAGGCTTTTAGTCACGGGCTGAAGCTACATTCTCTATTTTTACAGAAAATCTTGACATTTGCAGCCGGTAATACAGATTTCCATTCTTACGGTTACTTTATTTTTGTATAGATGTCGCTCTACACAAATATTTAGTATTCAAAAGTGCTCTTTTAGTTCCACCCTTACTTCCTAAGAAGTCCTATAAGCCAACTGAATGGCTTGTGCGGGTTAAGGGTAGGAACGGACCGCGGGCTTAAAGTCCCCTTCGAAGGACTAATACACAATAGGACAAATATATGCAACTCGTTTAATAAAACACTCAATCGCAAGCTCGCTCGTGCCTAATTTAAATTCGTGACTAAAATGTCGTTTATCAAACTTGATACATAATATACCATTTGGTTGGAAATTTTAAAAATTTTATTACATTGCTAGTAACAAATTTAAAAAACACATTGTTATTTTTATATTTATATTCTATACAAAGAAAAAACACAATTGTTATACAGGGTGTCTCAAAAGTCTCACCCTTCAAAAATCTTAGTTTTATCTCTAACATTTATATTACCTATTTTATTTGTTTATTTAACGTTAAGTAGGTCTATAAATACTGTACAAAAAATGTAAATTTTTAATGTGCTTATTTTTAAACTAAATATCTTTAAACAAAGAATATAGAGAGTTCTTACCCTACCATAGTAAAATGTCTTTTATTTATCAAAAAGAACCAGTCTCGTTTTATATCCCACAGTCAGTTACATAAATATAGTACAAGAAATAACTCAAATATTTGTCCTTTACCTCTAAGATTATGTGGAACGTCCTATGGCTTCAACTATTATTTAATAAATGTTTTTAATCTTCTTCCCACAAAGGTAAGAGACTTGGACTAAAGCCTATTAAGGTATAATTAAGGGCCACTTACTGAATGGGGCCTTTTTCAGCATAAGTGAGTTTTTGAATTATGATCTTGATATGTAGCCTCATAAACTATATATATTTATATACTATACACATGTATTCATTAAATATTATACTTGACAATTGTAAAATACGATTGTATTATTATATTATTATTATTAATAAATAAAATTACTTTGAAATATTTGGAGAACTCTTAAGAGACATCTAGTAGTGAATGTTTGTTTTAAATTATATGCTAACAAAGAAATATAAAATAAAAAACTTATATATTTATATTTTTTGTTAGCATATAATTTAAAACAAACATTCACTACTAGATGTATCTATCTGTCTCTTAACACTTCTAAATAAAAACTCACTTAGATTCTAAAATTTGTTCAAATAAACATATAAAGTCTATTATTTAAATTAAATTTTTTTGAAAAAAATATCTGCCACTCTTAACTCATAAAACTCTTTTATTACCTCTGTGTTATGCGGCCCATACATATTTTCTCTTCCAAGCGAAATATGAAAGAGATCTCTAACAACTATCCTTGCTTTAATGTATGCATTCTTTTTGCTGTAAAAAAGCAAAATTTATAGTTAAATCTCAGATAACACACTGCAGTGTTTTGGAACCGAGCACCCAATTTATAAAATATTTATTATACGAGGTGTGTTCAGAAAATAACGGGAATTGTTAAATTTCGCGGGTTCGGAGGGTCCGGTTGTCATAAAAAAAAATTTATTATGTTGGTATACATGCCCCTGAAGTACGA